GTGTTGGGTAATGGTTGGACTTGATCATCTTAGGGGTATTTTCCAGCCTTAATGATTCTGTGAATACTAGGGGCACCTTGGCACTTCTTAAAGATGGGTTCAAATAAGCAAAACTGAATGCAGCTGTCCACTCCCCTGGCCTCCCAGGAGATACTTGCATGAATTCAAGAAGACCAAAATTTTATTGTAGATTTTGTCTCCTTTTCTATAAATAAAATTAAAAGGGGCAAATGCTTTGCAAGATAAAACCTGGTTTTATAAAAATGTTTTTTTTTAAGAAAAAAGAACTGCAGGCAGTGTTTTCCTTCACCCACGCTCTTCAATTAGATCACCCTGTGCCCTCCTTTGTACATTATGTGGCTTGCATTCTTGTCTGGCTGGGGCTATGGTTAATGTCGTTGCTCAAGCACCAAGCTGGGTTTGTGAAAGACCAGAGTACCTTTGGTGTTCCTGCACTTTGGGCCCGTCAGATGCTGCTGCCCCTTCCTCTGGTTGGAAGGGGCTTCCAAGCCCATCAGCTTGCAACTGCTTGTCCACAGCAGGAGCCAAAAGCCTTTCCCAATAACCTCTTCTTTCTGCATGCGCCTTGCATCCTGCAGAGGTTCAGAAAAGGGCTTCATAAAACGGAGTTGCAATTTAATAACAAATTAAACATTTTTGTGAACCTTCCAATGCTAATTATGGTTTTCCTAGCCTGGCTAAAACCAAGAGCAGCCTTTCTTTGTGGTATGGCTGCTGCCAAGGAATGAAGCCACATGTGGAAATTAAATATGTAATTTTCAAACGTCAGCATGGGCCAGGGTTTTGTTTAAGAGTGGGCCATAGGCACTGGCTAGTTTAATTACTGCATTTTTTAACCCTATGATGAGATGCAGCACTGTTAAGCAGTTGTGGATCATGTTGCTTCCTCGGGCTCTGCTGATAAGAGCACTTCTAGCTGGTGAGGGAGATAAACAGCTTGTCTGCAGAGGGTGCCCAGCGCTTGGAACCGCAGCGTGATTTTACAGCACACCAGCCACGTGCTTGGCCAGGGTGGCTCTTGGAGCCTGGTAAGCTGCCCTGCACAGCACTAAACATCCTCACAGGGCACTGATGGGGAGCAGCTCCTGTGCCATACACTCTGCTGTGCCCTGTGGCACGCTGCCTTCCCCTGTGTGGAAAGCCAGGTGCTGCAAGTGAACTGGGGACAGATTTGCAGAGGCTGAAAGAAGGTGTTGGGCCAGTGCTGCAGAGCTTAACATGAGAGCTGGGTAGGTGTGGTAGGGATCAGGGCTGAAAAACTAAGTGGAAAACCTCCACAGCAGTTGCATACCCTTCAAAATCAGGTCCTTGAGTAACTGGTTTCCCTGAAGGTAGCAAAGGGAGAGTTGGGGCTCTAGACCCTTTGTCTGGGCTCCCTCACTGGGCTAGGGAGGCAGAGGTACTTGCTGACAAGTGGCTCCATCCTTGGCTGCAAGGGGGGTGAGCAACTGGAGTTGATAGATTCCATCTGTAATGATAAATCCACAGAGAAGTGTGGGCACCATGCTGTACTTCTGGGCCAAATTCTGGACTTGTACTTTGAAGGCTATTGTCTGATTCTAGCTATGTCTAGACTTATGTTAATTTTGTGTAGGTCTGTGTGTATGCTTATCTGTGTATTTTACCCTAGCTGAGTGCTTACTCCTGTTAGGACTTGGGCATTGGTCTGGCAGAGTCCCATTTTCTCTGCCCCATCTCCAGACCTGCTAGATGCCCTACAAGCCAGAGTGTTCACTTGTGTGGGGAAAGACACGAGCTTAGATCCTTTGTCTTAGAATTGGATACAAATTTTCTGCTTTCTGGGAGGGTTGGAGGGCGTGTGAGTAGGGTACCAGGGGGTGAGGGGTACTCGCAGTGTGGAAGCAGCTTCCACCTTCATGTAAGGTGCTCGGGGTACGCTGGCATGAGCACCAGACCCTGGCTGGGCCTCCCAGGCAGCTGCTGCACTGGTCAGGCTTCACACCACCGACTCCTTGGCCAACCTAACACCAAACCAGGGTGCTGAATACCAAAGTGTTCATGAGACCAAACTCCTTTGTGTTTGCTGTGGTTTCAGTAACGGGTAGGCTTTCAGAGGAGGAGGTGGAGGCTCCTGGCTACTGTTGCTAAAATGGTTTGCTCAGCTCAACTGCAGGGCAAGGGAGAAGGCAGAATGTATCCACAGGGGGCATTTGAAGGCCAGTTCAATGGGTGGCTGGGGTTTGTGGTGCCCTGCATCACTGTGTGGAGGAATGTCTCCTTCCAGGGCCAGACAGGTGGTGACTGAACTCTGAGTGCTGGCTGAACTCCCACAGGAGAAAGTGGAGGCCCACAGGGAAAACAGAAGCCCAGCAGTGAAAGGTTAACGTGTTGACTGCCACCAAAGCATGCTGACTGTGGGCAGGCGAGAGGAGTCCCCTGTATGGAGCAGTTGTTCCCTCCAAATCTGTGACTCAGTGACTTCCTTTCTGAAATTTTTATAACACATTCTTTCTCCTATTGTTGGTATGTGTGTTTCAGACTTAGTGTCAAGATGATGAGGACTGGTTTATCAGGATAGGTTTCAGTCAACAAAGGAAATCTTAAAGTCAGCTCCATGATTGCCACCTGCTTTCTAACATGGTTATTATTTCAAAGAATATAAGATCTGAAAACTAAATAAAATTGCAGCAGACAAGCAGAGTGCCTTGCATGTGCCACTTTCCTTGCTCCCCAGGACACCAGTTACATGTCTGAAGATCCTTGCCTTCCCTTCAGCAGGTCCAAGTGACAGTTTGGGCAGAAAGCCATTCAGCCTAGATGCTGAAGTAAGGCCATTTCACCTTTACAGCTTTTACCCTGCTTTCCTTAACTGCATCACATCTGACACTGGGATTGAGCAATCATGTCTCCAACACCTGGGAAATTCCAAACCCAAAAGTTCTTAGAGTGAGATGTTAACTTTGCTGCCCTGCATATCCTGCACGTCAGACAGCGAGTGACAGGCTACATGGGCAAGGAAAACAGAGAGAGGGAATGCTGCATATGCACAATTTGGCATAGCTACTGTAGAAGCTGAAACTTTTGGAATTTGAGGCATTTATTTCTTTGCTTTAACAGTAAGGATTGCTGCTTTTCCCCTACCACACAGGTGGTAAATAAATGGCAAGTTTTGAAAAGCAGCTCCAGAAAAGAAAATGCAGTTCACAGTGAGCTACATTTCCTGAGCGTTACATAGAAAAGTCAAATCCTTCAAAATATTTGAGCAAATAACTTAAAGGTTCTGGTGGAATCGGATGGCCCTCCCTTGTCACTTAAATCTCATAGCACTGTAATGTGTTCAGTGGCCTCGCTGTCAGGGCAGCAAGGTGAGCTTGAGGGGCTGCTGTTTGGTCTGGCAGGCTCACGTTCCTCACCTGAGATTGCCCCAGTGACCGTCCAGCTTTGTAAGGCTCTGTGTCCAGATTCTTGTTCTAGCCATCTGTGACTGCTGGAATTGGGTAAAGTTAAGGCATTTTTACCCTTGTGACATGATTTAGGAGAAGTATTGTTACAGCTTTCTGGCTACGGCGTGGATGTTCTGAGCACCAGAGTGCTGCATGTAGCACAGCAGCTGTTACATATTCAAGGGTGAAATTCCAATAGTAGTATGCTATATAATCTCTGGGTAAATATTTGTGCTTGTGAAGGTTAAGTGACTTAGAGCATGATAAACTCCAGCTTTTTGAGCAGGCCACTGCAATTTAAGCCTTCTTGCAGTGACCTACCAGTGACCTCTCTCCCAGTCTAGAGACAGAGTGATGGCTGGAGGTAAAAACTCAGAATGGACACTGAGGCCTCTGCTGAGCAGTAACGCAGCACATAAAACGTATCAGATGTTATTTGAACCCAACTACTCATCTCCAAACTGCTTCTCATCTCTAACGTTGCTTAAATTTTCTTGAAACTTCTCTCAGTGTAGCCTCATTAACAAATCCTGCACAATGTTTTCTCAGTGTTGGTGTAAGAGGGGGAAAGCCCTTGTAGATGACAAGTGTCATATCACAAGCTGGGTTTTTGGTGTTTTATCCATGTGATGGATGGAAAGTATTTCATTATCCTTTTCTAAGTTACAGGCACACGTTCAAGGTTGTGATGTACTTAACTTGCTTCAGAAATGCAAGTGAAATAACAGGTCAGACTACCACTGAAAGAGTTGTACAAGTTAGGTCCCATTAGAATCTGTAGTTCAGAGCCTTTCAGCATTCATGGAGCAAAAAAATCCCAACCCCAAAGCAGGCAAAGCTGTAGTCTCAGTGAAACTCAGCAGAGTTGGGATTCACTCCAACTATTTAACTTGAGTGTGTTTTCAAAAAGTTGTAGAATCCCTCATTTGCTTCCTAAGTTGTGTTGCAGAGGGATAACAGATACAGTCTTATTTGCACTAGCGAAATGGAGAAAAAGGAATATTTCCTACCTCAAATGAGAGAACAGAACTCCATTCCATACAGCTGATGGGCTCCTTTACACTCCTACCTGTTGACAGTGCATTAGGAATGACCTCATCCATGCTAGACCGAAGAGCAAACCACGATGACATGCCTCATTTTAATCCAAGCTGGGAGGAAGTATTTTCCATGCTGCTTTGAAGCACTGAAATGATATTTAGATTCCTGTCTTCTGCTGAGAAAACAGAATGCACCCTTGGCCTTTCAGAAACTAGCCATCCTAAATCAGGGTTCTACTTGCCCAAAGGAAACACCGTGTTTTGAAGTAGTCAAAACCATGTTTTGAAGTAGCTTTTCTCAAAAATCCTGATTTATTTCTATGCTGCCCCACCATGGTTGGCAGCTGTTGTCAATACTTGCTGTTGTCTTTGGAGCAAGAAAACCATCAGCAGGTATATGGCTTACTAATGCCATGGTGAGGATTGTTTATTTTATCTGGCAGTTGATATCTAAAAGAATGGCTTTAGGACAACACTATACATTTCAGTCTGAGGAACTCATTAATAATACTTTAATCCACAGGAGTCTTAGGTTTTATTTTGTTTTACTCGGCACCGGGAAATTTTTTTTCTTGCCTTGTCCTCTCTGAACTTGCCGAGCACGAGTTCCAAATCCCAGAGACTGCATTGATTCTGTTAAGTACTTCTGGCCAGGAGAAATGCACAACATCACCAACAGTTTAGCATCCCCTCCTAAAAGCAGGAAAAAGACAGACCATATTTATTTACCTCATTGTTTTCAGTAAGTCATACACTGGTAACATACTGATCTACAGAACAATGAGCATAGGCTACCATTGCTTTCATGAAGCAGAAGACTGCCTGTGAAGAGAGCTGTTGCAAATAGCTCCTTCAGGGGAAGTCTGTACTTAATTACATGATATTTGCCCCAGTAGAATAAATGTTATGCAATTTTTAATATAGATTTTTCCCCCACCCCCTTACAGGTTGATCAGTTAGTCAGCATGTATGCTATGGGTCTGGGCACTCCACTAAGCTTTGCCAAATGTTTGTACATTTGGGGTAATGGCAAAATGGGTTATTTGTGTGACAGTAAAGCAGAACAGACTTAGAAGTTCACAGAGAATGATTAAAGAAGGAAAATGCCATCTTCAACACTTCACCTAAACAGTGTCACCCAAGTCATACACCAGGCATGGTTAAAACCAGACCCATGCAACAATAGCTCCTGAACTCACTTCTTTCTCAGGCTTTCCCTTCTCACCGTGGGGACTCCAGTACTAGATGAAATTCAAAACTCCAGCAAAAATTAGTGTTTCAGAAACTTTCTCAAGAACTGTTACCTCAGTCACTGTCAATGCCTCGAACTGGAGACTAAAAGCATATGGGCTGATGCTCTGTGGCTGAAGAAAAACTAATATATAGATGGACACAGATCTGATGTTATTGCAGGAAGTGCACTTGCTTTAAAACTGTTTCTGTGTAGATGAGGAGCTAGAGAAGAGGAGGTGACCCAAACACAGCGTTGTAGCACAGTATCATGCATATGTTCTGTTTTTCCTCTTCTGTCTTACTGCTACAGGGCACAATGTTAAGGAATGTGCCAGTATGTGACTACACTCTGTAGTAATAAAGATTGAAGCTTAACTTGTAAACTGTACCTGATGTGAAGCACCAATGAAATGCAATTATTACCTTTTCAATCCAATTAGAGATGTGATTTTTACAAGTGCATTCCTAAACTGAACCATGGAAGCAGCAAGGTGCAGCCACATTCAGGAGTTCACAACTCTCAGCGCGGAGTCTTTGAATAGAGGCCCACATACATGGGTGGGGAGTACATGACCATCCTCTGGGTGTACACAACAAAGGAGGGAGGGGAGAGATTGGGAAAAGAAAACTGCCCTGTTGAAAGTCAGAGCAGCCCCTCACCTATGGAGTCCTGAAGCAGGTGTGTCAGTTTGCTGTTGCGGTACGGGACGTGCGCTCGCTGCTCCGCTATTGCCCCGAGGACATCTGCCAGGGCGGACAGGCTGCGGTTAATAAACGAGGTCTCCCTCAGCGCTGCCCCCGTCACTCCAGACATGCCTGGTACGGTGCACAAGAAGGCAACGGTGAGGCCAAGCTGAGCTGCTTCAGCTGTCACGTGGGGAAAATCCCCTTGCGGTATCGTTTACTTTTCAGGCAACATTTTACGACGCAAATTCTGAACCACGGCGTTCCACCCACCCGGGCCAAAAGCAAGGTGCAGTGATTGTTTAATCCAGACTGCCACCACGTTGTTCAGTGCTTCTAGTCTTTAAAGGAGGGTAAAAGAAGGTTCGGTGCCTGCAGGTGGTCTGAAGTATCTCATGTTAAAGTTGATTTCTTAGCTATGCAATGTGTCTTGGCTCCGTACGCATTACGGAACTGAGAAAGCAGGAACACCACAGGATCAGACAAGATGACACTGCTTTTCAAAAGAAAACTGGTGTTTTCAAAACACCAGTCCGCAGTGTCCCCAGCCCACTGTGCCCCAACAATTTTTATAATAGTTAACTGCCTTGTCTGTACCCCTTAGGAAAACCAGGAGTGACACCTGGCATGGGTGTCAGGAACAAAACCACACAGCACCATGAGTATGAGGGGTTTATGTTCACCAAAGGTGAACGTCAGCTGCTGGCTTGTGGTGTGATTTGCAGTAAGGAAATTAATGAAGGGAAACTGTGCCTTTCTACCATAACCCCACAGGGTGGTACATAGCTATGCTGCCCTTGGGCAATGCTGGGAAGGTTTGGTCTACACATCATGTTGCACCAATTCAAAGAGGTACTACAAGCTCAACGTTCTGGTCAGTCTGAATGAGCGAGTCATTAATTCCTCCTGTCCTTACCTCTGCTATTTGGGGAAGAGAATAATCTCATGCTGAATGCTAATAGCACATTCAGCCTTCCTGTGGGGTAGCAGATGAGGTGCAGATGTATCTGCAATCACTTCTTATTACCCAGAGCACATGATCCACCCTAGGCAGAGCTAATGGCAGTAGGATGATGTGATGGGGCTAACTGTTCCTTCAGCTGCCTACTGTCCAAGCTCTAAAGAGGTACAGAGAGGCTAGAGACCTTGTTTGTTCAAGATCCAAATGTGAAAAGGCACAGTAATAGCAAAAAAAACCCAGAAGTCCAGACAGTGAGGGCTGAAGAAAGGCAACTATGGGAGAGGATGCAGCTGGAGTGGTAGATTCTCTTGGCATAGAAGCACAGAGCAAAACCATTTGGAAGACTCTGCCTCACAGGGTGTCAATCTGAGAGAGGATGTGTCTCTGACTAACTTTACTGGGGTCACTGTGTCATAGGCATATCCAGGCTTCTTTCATAGCAAGTAAAGGTGGACTCCTGAGACACTGGGTATCACCCTAAAGCAGAAAACTGCAAATTGCTGGAGCAGTATGTGTTTAAACTGCTGATTATCCACATTTGGTTAGATGAACTTCCAGAAAGCATTTAGCTGAGTTTTCAAACGGAAACCTAGCTTGCTAAAAAGGGACCACTGAGGTTGTAAATGCTGTAAACGATCCAGGATGGCTGCAGAGCTAACAAGGCAGAGTGCTGAAGTGTGTGGAAAGACTGCTGTACTGCTGCTCAGGTTTGTCCACGTTTTAAAACAATTATGAGTCAACAGCTGCCCTCACTTTGATCAGGGTAAGTCCACCAGCATCGTGGATGGTAGAGGTTAGTCTGCTGCATGACTGCTCACGGATGTAAGTGCACACAGCTCTTCTGGCTTCACTGGAGGATCTGGCCCACCCAGCCCCAAGCCAAGTAAATGTTTGTTCTGGTTGAACTGAGAGGACAAACACACACACTGTTGCTCAATTACATGTTTACCAAACAGTTTCCAGCACTCAGAGCAAATGAAAAAAATAATGTATTATATTAAGTTTCTCTGTAGAACAAAAGTTTAACAGTGAGCAGCAGCAAGAATTCTTGGCAGCAAAGTAAAAGGTTCTTTCATAATACTGGTTCAGTTTTCAAAACATTATTTCTGGAATGGTGCATTTGGCTGCATGACTTTTCTTGGTAAGGAAGCTTGTCCTTTAGGAAATAATCAAGTTTTTGAAATTATTGTGTGCATAGAGGAGGAAAACGCTTTGAAGAAGCAATGAAAACAATATTATCTTTTCAACACTAACTTCCTCCAAGAATTTTTCCACAGTAAGGCAGAAAAACCCACACATGGTGATATCAATTATTACAGATATTTCTAATATTAAAATAATTCATGGATTTTAAACATTTATATTTAAGACATGCTAATTTTCAGAGTAGAAAAACAGGTCTAATAGAACTAGTCTGAACAAATAATGTATCTGTGATACAGGTAACTGCCCTGGGCTTAGTTGAAGCTTATGCAGTTAGATTTTCCATTAAACTGTACCAGAGTAAGACTGGAACAATCAGCCCCCAACACTCTGTGGGTTAAACCACCACGAGTGAGAGCAGGGTGCCATGTAGCCCTAGGTAAAGGCAAGCACTGTAACCTGGATCCAGGAGGATCCATGCCCACGAGCAGAGACGTTCGCTCACCGACACACTCGCTACCGGCCAGGTCCACCAGCTGCAATCTCGTTTTGACTTGCTTCATTTTCTCAGCTGCTTCAAGTTGTACTGGTGAGGAGGCTCTGGAAGAAGAGGTGGATGAATTGTCTCTCATTTTCTGTGGAAAGATGCAGGAAACCTCTTTGCTTAGTCTATGACTGGCTTGCTCGTCTTCCCATGAAGTGCCTGGTTAATGGAAAAAAGAAATAATGAGAGCTTCTCACTGACACTGGAAATTGAGGTGAGGAAAAAATGGGGCATCAGCAGGGGAAGTACAGTATTTGCTGCTTCATGCTAGCCTGAGAGAAGCAATATACAAGTCAGAGTCAAATGGCATGGGCAGGCTGAATGACTTTCTATGTCTTGTTCAAGGTTTTGCTCATCCAACCAACTGTACTAGTTGGTAACAAGCCTTGGTGCAGGTTGTGTTCTATCTAATACCCCTGCTGTTCACACTTCCACGGGAAAAATAACAGGAGTCCAGTAAGGACTTAGAAGGGACACTTTTTCATGTTTTAGACTGCAATCAAAGTGAGATTTTGGACGTTTGGGAGCAGTAAGCTCTGAAAGTCTGTTTCTGTTTATTTGAAACATCACCTGCTGGTGCCCTGGCAGGAAAAAAAAAACCCAAACAAACAAAAAAACCCCAAACAACACAACCTCATTCTGTCTCTTTTCTATTTTGTCCTTTTCCACTCTTCCCTCTAGACTTTCTTCAGCTCTGATATCCCACTGCTGCATCTCCACATGATGAGCTAATAGCCTTATTAGCATTACTCCCTCTTGTTCAGGCTGGCCACCTACTACTCCTGGCAGGTCTGTAGCTGCACTAGACTACTTCATCTTTCCTCTTCCTCAGCAGCAGCATCTGGCTTTCACTTTCTGCTGGGAAGGAAGAGGAAGACACATTCTTTTGGAAAGCTACTTTCACACTAGCTTAGCAAGAGCATATGTAAAAAGGGGCTTTCCCAAAGCATTTCCATTGTTTTTCTTCAGTGTTTTGGTTTTCACCCATCCCTCTCTCTCTCTGAAAGCCATAAAAGAATAAAAAAATAATACTCTGCTGCAGGTATTGGAGAGAATAGGGATTCCTGGGGACTCAAAGAGTCCAGATGCAGTAGTACAAAGCTCCCAGCATCAAAACTGGAGTAAGGAGCAGACTGAAGTGTGTTGCAGAGCTCCATACCTCTCCAGCTAGGCCGTTGCTAAAACCCAAGCTGGCTGCTCACAGGCAGAGCAGCTGTGTTGGTTTGCACAGAATAAATGGCTTCAGGCCATGGAGTATAAAAACAGGTGTTCTCACTTCTCTTCAGTTTGAGACAAGGAAGTTCAATAACTGCTTTCCTCAAACAACAGGTAATACTGAAATAAAATGTTAAAAGACCTTAATCAAACCAGAAAAAGTGCTAACTTGTCAATAATAGCTCTAGGTGAAGAACTTACAACTTTGTAACTTTTTATTTAGTGACTTAGATCTCCAGTGTTGAGATATTTGACAGTTGCATTTACCTTTTAAATCAGGAATTTCTCTTTTAAACAAGATAGAATGTGCTGTCACACTGCTGTAGGGGGGTCCCATTTGCAGTGCTGCTCTACCCCCCCTCCCCACATTGCACATCTTCATCTGTGCACTATGAGCTGAAAGCCTGAGTGTGCATTCAACAGAAATTTGACATTTCCATGGAGTTTTGATGCCAGACAACACGGCATAGCAGCGTGACTGCAATTAGAAGTGGCAAAGGAGAGTCTGGACAAGACAAGATGGCTGGTGCACTAGTAGGGCAAATGCTGTGTTTGGAAAAGTAACATCTGTCTTATCAACGAGAATCTGGAACTGGCTGGAGCTAACATCTGGAACGCTGAACCTGCAACTTGTGAAGTGACTGTGTCTTTTGGCAAGGCCCACAGGTACGCGAGGACGCTGTTCTGTTTTGCTAATATTGTCAGTTTGCTTTCTGATAGCAATCTAAAGGAAAAAATGTTAAATATTTTCCACTTTCTAAAACCGTATTGTTCTTGCAGAGGATGAAGGACATGGACCACAGCACTGGAAGCAGACAGCCTAGTTGCAGGAGCAAAAGAAAAGGAAGTTACCCCCTAAAAGCCAAAGTTACATGTAAAGCAATAAACTGGGAAGTGTTGGTGTAGTGATGAAAAGTAGAAATACAAGTTTGGCCATAGTAAATAAGAAAACTACCTTAGCTGTTCCTACAGTGGCCTGTTATTAACAGTTCAAGAGACTCTTAATTTAATGGACGTTTTTGCAAGGCAGTGGGTGAAAAACAGTTCTTACCCAGAAGCAGACAATGATCCTTAAAACACATGATTAGATTTACCACAAACTTAGTATGAATAATATGTCATACAAAGTGATTTCACTGCTGTATTTAAGTATCTTATTATATCGTTTTATATCTTATCTGATGATTTACTGATAAAATTTATTTCATTAGTTGTTTCATGCCATAAAATTTCAAGAACTCTGTAAGTCAAGACCTGTAAAGAAAAGTGAAAAGCTTTTATGAAAGTGAAGGCTCCAGCAGCATTCCAACATCAAACTGGTCTATTGTGTAAGAAGGTAGGTAGAAGTTAACAATTGAAAAGAACTGAGGGAGTGTATTACATATCAGAAAAAAAGTGGAAAAAACGAGTATCTCAGTCCACAGACTATTTTTTAAAAAAACAACTGGCTCCAGATGTATTTTAGTAACAACCTACTTACCAAAATTATCTCCTGAGACAATTGTGGTTATGGTCAATGTAACTACCAGATGAGAACGAGAGGAATGAGCATGCACCAGTGTTGGGTGGCTGACTCTCAGCTGTAAGCCTCTGTTGACTAGATGCAGAAATTCAGATGCATTTTCAACAGTCCTAGGAAGGAAAGAAAGTCCAAGATGAAAATTCAAGACAAAAGCTGTGATGTAGTACTGAAAGTACTGAGGAAGTGGTCTGCAAGCCTTGTAGCTCAGCTCTAGAAGTGACTGAAATTTCTGCACCTCCACACTTTGGAAGAAAAGACAGGGATTTAGACATTCCTGGAATCTCTAATCTTACAGAAGTGGAGTTATCCAGTTTATATTAAGGTATCTCCTATTCTTTGGGAAGTGCAGAATTAGGACAAAAAGAAGAAATTTCTCTGGGCCTTTGGAAATCATATCTCACATTTGGAATTATATCCAGAATCCTCAGAAAAATGTTCAGTTCCACTGTTCAATGAACAAAGGCTCTAGCACAGTGTCAGAACAGACAGACATAGGTTTCTATAGACCACTTTATCTCATACTCTCCATTTTCTTTTCCAGTTAAAGGAAGTATTGCAAATATGACCAATTGAAGGGCAAAACCCTAACACAGAAAGTGAAATAAACTGATTAGGTAAAGAAAAGAACCACTATAATTTCCCCCAGGTTTGAAATGTTTAAAACAAATGAGGTAAGATTGCCTATCCTTCCCGTTCTCTGCACTGCCTTCTTCAGTAGTCACTCAAGTTACATCACCTAACCATTAGTTTCTAGATGGGGGTGTAAATTATTGTGACTGCAGATCCCAGCTTGATGACTGAATGCCCTGTAACACCAGAGCCATCAATAAACTCTCCTTACAGTCCACAGTCAGGAAAAGCAAGCACATGCTAACAGGCAAGGCCTCCATGACTTAGATGTGGCTGATTTCAGTGAAAATCACACTGGGCACCAACTTACTTGATGTTAAGAGCAGCCATACTTGAAGTGTTTAGAGACAGAAGAGCTATACCAAACTGAAACAATTTCCTCTGAAAATAAAGCAAGGGTGTCTGAAGAACAGGAAAACACTCAGCCACACCATGCTTATAGACAGTTAAGAGAAGGAGCCACCTAACAGCAGTTCCCTGTGTAAGCAGGGTGCAGGAGCTACACGACTTCACCCGCACTATACACCTCCCCTGTCACACCTCTGCCTCTGTGCATCCACTGGGAATGTCTCCCTGCTTGTTTGACATGGCACCAGCAGAGAAGCAGTGGCTCTAGTTCCTACTGTCAGTGGAGGCAGAGCCTCACACTGGGGTGATCTGGGCAATACCTCAGGTCCAAGGAGGCAGATCTTGCCTTCCTGCAGGTTGAACTGCATCTTCCTGGCCAACCAGCACTGGAGAGCCTGGGAGGCAGCAGCCTTCAGGAGGATGTAGCAACAGGCTGTTGGCTTCTGCAGGCTGCTGCTGTGCACTGGCAAGGGGTCAGTGCTACAGGCTGCTGTCTTCTAACTAGTGTTTGCAGAAGACAGGCCTCAGGGAAACTGCAATTGACTTTGGAGGTAAACAGCATCCTCAGCCCAGTGCTGCAAGCTTGGCACGGGGGCTTCTCAGCAGGACTGACAGCAATAACTTTTTAGTATAATCTCTAGGACTTTATCATGCTGCATGTACTGCATGTTCCAGGAGTAGATCCTACAAAGAGAAGCTCTGTTGTGGTTAGGTTAAAAATCTGATACTGAATGTCCTCCAAAGTCAACCAAGCATAAAAGAAGAAAGAGGCTGAGGCTTTTGTGATTCAGTTGTACATGTTAGCAGGAAAGAGACTACTGCACTTTAATAGATATATGGAGAAGCCAATGAGATCCAGAAGGCCACTATGTTCTAGATGAAATATTATCACAAATGAGGATGTGTTTTTATTCAAAGCACCAGCTGCCTGCTTTAGATTTCAGGCAGCTGGGTGGCCTCGTTCAACTGTTCCCTTACTTTGTTTGGGTTTGCTTTTTCTTATTAACCTTTCTGTGTAGTTATTAATATAACCTGTTTATGATTTGGTCTTTCTTTCCTGCTTGCATTGTAACTGAGATACAAATCCATATTCTTATTTACATTTGCATTAGAACTGAGTATTTATCAATTAATTGAGGTAAGTGATTTTTAAGAGGAGCCAGGTTCCCTGACTATAAATTAAACTTCACAGAAATAAACAGAGCAGGCATTTTATGAACTAGAAGGCCAAACAAAATCTTACTGCAGCTTCTGGTTCCTACCTCTACAACACAAGACCATCCACATCTCACCTCTCCCTTCCCCAAAAAAGAGGAAAGAGGATGGTTTACCCACTAACTATGCAAAGCACTCTTGGGAAGGTGAGTAGGCATTTTTCAGGAATGAAACCAGGTCAGCATGTTGGTTCCTGAGACATCATCATTAAAAATTACTTGGAGTTTCTGATGAAGCAGGAAAAATTCAAGTCCCACCAGTCCCACACTATATGCATCCATTTTCATTTTCTAAGTCATACGGTTCCTTTCTTTTCTAATCAAAGGAAAAAGATTGGCTCCTTCAAGAAAGATTCAGCACACACAGGTTAGGCTCCACTGCCAGCCTCTTCTGAAGAAGTTTTTCTTTCCCTTGACAGCAGCTTGACAGCCTTAACCAGATGTGAAAAGTTGGAGTAGTGTCATAGTCAGCGAAATCCAAGAACAGAGGCTAAGAGAAACCCACCAGACAGAGAGGGCAAAAGGATTCATCACTTCAAGCTCCCATCATCTTCAAATCATTCCATGCTCTTATGGAGCATGCAGAGTGCAATCAAGGATGCAGAATTTCTCTGGAAATCACATTTAACCTAACGGCTGAAGCGCAGGCATACCCCAGATACAAATGTTAATCCTCCCCAGAATATCGCAGTGGTTATTATTTCATAGACAAAAGGGAGAGTTATAAGGCCCCCATGGTCAAGGAAACCACTTTCCAATTTCTCTGGGGTCCCATTTTTCTATGAGCAGTTCAGTAGCTAGAAAATACAAGTCAATAAATGCGTATAAGTAGGTGGAATAAAAGTATGTTTGTACAACCCTCCAGTACATTGTCGTATTTTTATCAAGGCTTTCTGGCAATAGCATAAACCCAGATAAACAAACAGCTGCTATTCTGCTTATGTGACTAAGTCCCACAAGATAAAAATACTGCCTTCAGTTATTTACACTGAGGGTGTGTTTTATTTTAATGGGGAGAGGGGGACATGCCTTTCATAACTGACTTCTGGCTCCTCCTGGAAAAGCAGAGATGAGAACACGACAAGCACTATTATGGAGAAGTGAAGAAAAAACATCGTGTTTCCCCCAGAAATATAAACTAACATGCTAAACTTTTCAATAGGGCATGATGTTTTCTTTACACAAACATTATTTGCCCAAAGAACAGAACATTTATTCTAGGTTGCTAGACCTCTGTGTAGTGCACGAGCAGAAACGTTCCCTTCTGGAATCTGCTCACAAGTTGGGAGCTCACAGGGAGATGTCCAGTAGCTTAATTCCACTGGGTAGCATCACTAGTACTGCTCATCATAATTTGGATTTGCTAATGTTGACTTAACACTAGCATAAACACCACACCTTTTACTAAAATGCAGCATCTGAAGCGGAATCACTCTCACTAATGCATGAATTGTTATCAGCATGTGATTTTTACCATCTGATTAGCCAAGTGTTTTATATGGAACAAGAAAGTATTACACATTTGCTGATTGTGTAACATCAAGAATAATTCCCATATTTACTAGGACAAGCGTTTGTAATGCTGAGGAAGTACAAGAAGGCATTAAAATAAGTATAGCTGCAGCCTTAGCTACCTTAGGTCTCCCTATACTGTCAAGATGTGTAAATGAGAATCAAACTTACCATATATTTGATGCTAAGGAGGTATGCATCTTAAAGGTAAGTAGAAGCTTAACTAGTTCTCAGCTTTTGGTTTGGAGAACCTGGATTTTCAAGAACTACAGATCCGAATACCAGCATGTCAGTTCCCACTTTAATGCCTCCAGTTATGGAACCAGAATACTAAGCAGAGTAAGATGGGTATTTATATGATAAGATCACTTAAAATTCTGTTCTTTTTAAAGGACTTTTTTTTAAAATTCT